ATGTTCACTCTGACCTCGTAGTCCTCATCAATACATTTGATGGCGTGAAAGAAGACATGTTTTGCTAAATTCATAACTAAATCATTTGGGAGTCCGTCTAAATGAATGAATAAATAAGATAATTTGAAAACGACATATAAAACTTTATTAAACTGTGAGCACACTTAAGACACATACATTTGGGTTTGCAGACCTGGTCCAACATAAACTTAAATTTGGCAGCGCATGTCATCACCTCTTTCATACCACCTGGCACCTTTTTAGGTGGACAGTCAAACTTGTGCGGCGATGGCTTATGATTGCCACTCACACACCCGATGACCACTAAAAGTAGCACAAAATGAATTACTTTTATGTTTAATATCATTGCGATAGTATCACAGAATAGATTAATTGCTAACTATATTCACGGATTCACTAAAACTATATAAATTGGAAAATTTTGAAATGATATATAAAATCATTAAATAATAATTAAATTATTTATTCACCATAAATGAGTTTAGATTTGTATAAATTTCTTATAATTAAGATACCTGCAACTGTATCATTTTAGTTAAAGTGATTAAAAACAGGTGGAAATAGATAGTGATTAGACATATAATTATGAAATTGTACCAATCTTTCATTAAATTGTTTATAAAGTAACTGTAAATTAATTTCATATCAATGTTAATTTTGTAATTATTTAGTTTTGTAATTATTTATTATTTTAAATATTTCCACAATTCATTTGATAAAAAAAATTATTTTATGTTTGTCAACAGGCAAAATTTCTTGTTACATTAAAATTGTATAATTATTGCTTTTTACTCACTTGTCAGTATTTTTTACTTATTTTTTTTATTAAATTCGTAAATTCATTAGTAAAATTATTTATGAATCAGTCTAATAAAAATGCTAGTGCACTTTAAACATTTAATATTTATATATAATTAAAAATTGAGATTTATAGTAAATATAAAACATTAAATTTTAGATAAAAACTATATTAATCAAACCTATGATGTAAAAAAGAGTATTTGTATAGAAAAACTTTTACAAAATCTTAAATAATATTTTAATGTAAATTAAAATCAATTGTATGATTAGTCTTGTTTAAAAATTCATTAATCATTAAATACAATTGTTATCTACTAAATAAACTAACAAAAAACAATAATTGATTATAGATTCAATAGTTAAATTCGCAATTAAATCACATCAAAAAAGTTATAATTGTTCAGCAATAAAAAAAAGTAATTTCAGAGTAAACATAAATTCAAATATAATTAAAAAATTATAAATAATTGTCGGATTCATTGAAGCGAATAAATTTATTTTTTATATAAATAGTCAAATCAACGCAAATGATGATTTTCATAATAATATTTTAATTAAAATATGTATAAAGAATTAAATCTGTGTTTAAGTGAGTCTTTATAAATAATTTAATTTACACCACATTTTCATTGATATTTTATTTTCAATAGTTATAATAATAGCCGCGTTTAAGGGCTATCGGTCTGAATGCAAGATAACTGAGGAGCAACTGGACAATTGTTTTCACGATGCCATGTTCCTTGGTAATCTCGACTCCATTGTACCCTCGAATGAGGATGAAATGAACCACCACTGCAGGTCTGCCTATTATATTCATTTCGTATTTGTTTGAATTTATTTTACAATTATATATACTTTTGAATCATATAATTGGCACACAATTGGTGACAACAAAATTAGTACAATAAATGGCGGAGTGAACTGTGCCCGCGACTACTCGGCCTCGTGTTTGACAGGTTTCCCGCAACAAGTGGCGGGAATGGTGTTGACAAATATGGGCCTTCATATGGACTCGCGCTGTAATAAGCCGTCCGAAAGGGCAGAGTTTCTCGAAAATGTCAAATGCTTTTTGCCCAAAGAGAAGATGAAACCGTTGCACGTCTGCGGCGATAAACACACGAAGTTCATGGAAATCGCATCCAAGATGTCCAAAGAGGAGGCACACCTGGCCTTCACGTGCTGTGCCTATCAGGTGTTCAAACACTGTGTCCTCACGAATACCATACAAATCTGTAGCGAAGGACACGCCCAGTATTGGGATGAGATCTTCGAGGAAGTGGTCAGTTGTGTAGATGAATGTCTGTCTTATGTATATTTGTTGATCATTAATGGTCTGTCTTAGGCCTCGGAAGCGGTGACCTTCGCGTGCAGTGATTTCGATAGCGTTGACAAGTGTGCGGCCAAATTGAAGCCCGAAGACTGGGCTAAGATTAAGACTATTGATGAGGCAACTGATCCGGCTGTTTGGGCCCACAACATGAGGACACCTATTAAATTTATGCTCGAAATGATCAATAAGTTTCATATGGACTCGTAATTGTTATATCTTTAAGAGTAAATGCTTTAAAATTATTATTCAATAAAAATGTCATTAAAAGTCAAATTTAGTTAATGTGTCAATAAATGCACATTTGTATGCATAGTCTGTGGGAAAACACACAAAACTGATTTAAAACATGATTCTGTGGAAAGAATTTTATTCAAAAGATCTGCAAATAAGAGAAAACTTTTTCATTGAAAACACGAATGAATTTGAAGATAAGTTTTCTTTGAAAACATGGTTTCAATGACAGTCTTGCGTCTAATATGGGTTTCGATGAAGAGGTGATCCACAGATACGACAATTACAGGCCACCGTCCGATGCCTTTTGCGGCGGATTAGTACCCAATAGATAAGGAAAGTCATGAGAATGAGAACCAAAAAGAATACCATTCCTAGCAATGGCTTCCACTTAGAGTCTGGCGCCTCACCTGTCGTGTCGGAGGCGTTCCGATCTGTCGGTGCTATGGTTTTTGGCACAGTTTGCTTTGGGGTTGGAGTCGGCGGTGGAGTTGGCTTTGGTTTTGAGGTTGGACTTTGGATTTGAACTGTATTTTGGGCTACCGGTGCCTTCTTTTTCTCAGGCTTTGAAGCCACTGTCACCTTTGGCGCTACTTTTAGGACAACCTTTGGGAAACTCACATAAAGTATGGGAATAGTCTTTGTGTACAGAATCAGATGACTACCGGCGCCCAACTGTAGTTCCCGCGCCCTTTTGTTAGTGTGATAGTAGTCACCGGTGGGCTCGACCACAAACACCGGCATATTGATGACAGCACTACTGTTTGGCTTCAATAGTATACAGCCGTCAGCGCCGACGACTATCACAAAGTTGTGGTCTTTCTTTGGGTCCAATTTGACGGCCAATTCTTTGGACTTGAGGGCAGTCTTGTGTTCAGTCACCGTCTCTCCGGTCGATATGTTTTTGAATGAACCGCTGGGTATGACCTCCAGAACGGGCCCACAATCCCATTGATTGCCATCCTTTCCAATGTGATAGACACTATCAACGGTTACCTCTTGTATGGCACTCAACACCTTTTCGGTCACTTTCTGTACGTCTATCTGTTGTGGTATACGTTGGGGTCCACCACTCTTGGCATCCACTTTGAGCGCAACCTTCTTTTTAATAACTATAGACTTCAAGTCCATTGTGGCCCCCATTTCCACCGCTTTTGCATCCTTTTCCTCGGGGTCTGAAATTGGTCTCAATTGGAAAGACATGTCTGTTTTCTGTCTGTCTCTGAGTTTTGAAACTTTCTAATAATTATATTTTTAAAAGTCATAAATAATTGTTATTTTGACCAAATTATTATTTAAAAATTAAATGTTTTTATGTATTTTTAATATTGTATATAATTACAGTAAATGTCTCACAGTAACTTAGATATTGAAAACGATAACATTGAAAATGTAGTAAGGTGTATGAATTGAATAGAGAATTTAAAAATTTAATTTAATTATTTGATTTCAATGTTTAAAAAGATTTTTATTTCATCACATAATAAATAATAATATTTTAATATCAATCTATTCATCCATCCAAGAAACATAACAAAATGTTTGCTCTCATTTTAAGTACAAAAAAGTTTAACATTACAATTGATATATTTAAAGTTTAAATTTTCAATATTTAATCGTAGTATCAGTGAAAATGTCTTAAAAATAAAATTAATATAATAGCCGAACGTTTTCGGTCAACACAGTGACCATCATCAGGGCTAAGATGTTATGAGATATGAGTGGCTATTGTAAGTGGTTATTGGTTTTGACAATTAGTTCACAATTCAGGATTTTTCATAAAACTTGGTGTTTACAAAACCTGATGGTGAACTTATATGAAATTTACAGTAAATAATCAAACACTTATTAAATTCAAATGTGAAGTTTACTTGATTCTTTATTAATACTTAAAATTTTGTTTTATTCAAAGGTATGATTGAATTTATAAGGAGGTGGGGGGTCCTTATCAAAACACCTGCCGTACAAAGCCATAGCCAGCAATGGTTTATCAAAATTCTCTAAATTAAGTTTCACTTCAGACCCAATTTGTCCGTTATTTTCATAAATCCAATACTGTTTGGGAACTAAAGTCAAGTCTAACACCTGCCGTACAAAGCCATAGCCAGCAATGGTTTATCAAAATTCTCTAAATTAAGTTTCACTTCAGACCCAATTTGTCCGTTATTTTCATAAATCCAATACTGTTTGGGAACTAAAGTTAAGTCATTTGATGTGAGGCTGGGATACGTGTAATTAGTGGTGAATTTGGCGCTTAGTCTTAGACTCTCGAAAACAGTCTTTGATTTGGTTGGGAATGACTGACAGGAGTCGTCATCACATCTAAAGACACCACAAGTCTCTTCACACATCGGATAGTTTTGAGTGTATGGGTGGGCACTACTGTTCACCACAAACAGCCAATAGGACTCATCCCGTAATGACAGTTCCGACACCACGGAATAATTGAGTTGACAACAGAATCCGTTATCGCAAACAACTGATGAGTTTTGTTTGTCCACCAGTTTCTTAAGAGTCAGACCTTTTGTGTACAGCGTTTCCACAGACTTATACTCGGAATCAGTTTTCAAACTCTCGATGGAAACGGTTTTATTAAACCTTTTGGTGAGACACGAGGCGCTAGTGTTGTGACTGTTAATGGGAATGTCCGCTACGAACAGTTTAGCCGTTTTGGTGGTGATGTCTGAGTAGACAATCGGTCCGTTTTCGCCCGAATATATACCGCTCCCAATAGAGCCTGTCTTGAGGTTCAAGACATTTGCTGCCAAAAGGTTGACCCGATTAGTGGTAGCCCAGCCCTCTTGGAGCTGTTTGGCCGATCTTAACGGCAACTCATCGAACCAATAGGTGGGGAACACCATTGTCTGCACTCCATATTTGACCACATCTTGAATGCCCGGGTCTTTGAACAGCGTATCGAAACTTCAATAAACAATTGCTTTCAATAAAAACAATTCAAAACAACAACTCATACCATATGTGAAGACCTAATCGACCGAAAGGAGTGTCGAAGTAAACGAACTCTACTTTGGGAGGAGTGTTGTAACCAAACTCGAAGAATAGGTGTGTTTTGTGATACTTCGCCACAAGTGAGCCGTCGCTACTGAAAGCCACTGCAGTGTTGAACATATAGTGACCGTCTGTGGGACAGTTGCCATCCAATGTGTGGTTACATTGAACCCGATCCCCATAATCGGCCACAATATACAAGTGATTTGTTTTAGCAAAACAGCTCAGAGATAGTGTTATAGGACTGGACTTATACTGCGATGGATTATCGCATNTACAAGTGATTTGTTTTAGCAAAACAGCTCAGAGATAGTGTTATAGGACTGGACTTATACTGCGATGAATTATCGCATGGATTAAAAGTGCCTTTTCTTGGGTCAGGTATTTGTTCAACAAATGTGGCCATAATGTCGCGTGAATACATAGCTAGATAATCCGGTAGGAGTCCTATGTGGTTTTACAAACGGGGGAAAAATCCAATCTTTTATCAATAATCAAATAGCTTTCCATAGTTTAAATAATGTAAAAGACGTCGAAACCGGCGTTAAAGAAAAAAAACTTTGAGGTTTTTCTCAATGATAGTCGAGGGCTCATCTGTGGTAACATTTCCCTGAAGTATATGTTCATAAACAGCAGCTCTGTATGTCAGTGATGATTTAAGTGTAAAGTGACTTATACGCAAATTTTATTTGTGTTAGTCACTATTGTTGTGATTTAATGATAACTTTTAATCACAGTAAAACATGTCATAATCTTTAATTACAATAAAGGAAGGTTTGCCAAACTCTGGATGCATTATTTATAGTAAATTTCTCTAATCAAATAAATTAAGTGCATTGATGACAGTTTAGTTAAGTGTATAAAAATTATCATTGAACTTCTCAGAAGTTATAATACTTCTCAGTAACATACCTAATGTAAAAGTATGATGACATGTCATAAATTCATTCGTATAAAATACTATTTTCATTATAGTAATTGAGCCTTCTAAACTTAATAGACAAATGAATATACATTATGTGAACTGTTTTAAATTACAATATCAATTAATTATTATATTTAATAATAATAATATTTTTATACAAATTAATATTGCAAGTATTAAGATAATGTGGATGCAGATTTGCCCTAAAATAATCTATGTTATTTCATTAGGATTGTGAAAAATTAAAGATTTAAAATTGTTTTCTTGTAAAGAGTATAAATCTTCAATACCTTAACTTATTTAACATTTAATTCAATATCTATTACCATCTCTTTAGATCTGAAAGTCTCCTGTAGACCGAAAACTTTCGGCTAATCTATTATATTATTTTTGATATCATTTAAGTTAATGATGCAATTCATTGATGTAAGTCATTAATTCAATAACTTATTTGGTTAATAAAATAAGTTATTGAAACTAATACTTAATTAAAGTTAAAGCATTGAAACGAAATAAAAACATTTCTTATTTCTCATTGGTTTTGACAATTAGTTCACAATTCCCCCGATTTTTCATAAAACTTGGTGTTCACAAAACCTGGTGGTGAACTTATATGAAATTTACAGTCAATAATCAGACACTTATTAAATTGAAATCAAATGTGAAGTTTACTTGAATCTTTATTAATACTTAAAATTTTGTTTTATTCAAAGGTATGATTGAATTTATAAGGAGGTGGGAGGTCCTTATCATAACACCTGCCGTACAAAGCCATAGCCAGCAATGGTTTATCAAAATTCTCTAAATTAAGTTTCACTTCAGACCCAATTTGTCCGTTATTTTCATAAATCCAATACTGTTTGGGAACTAAAGTCAAGTCATTTGATGTGAGGCTGGGATACGTGTAATTAGTGGTGAATTTGGCGCTTAGTCTTAGACTCTTGAAAACAGTCTTTGATTTGGTTGGGAATGACTGACAGGTGTCGTCATCACATCTAAAGACACCACAAGTCTCTTCACACATCGGATAGTTTTGGTGAGCACTACTGTTCACCACAAACAGCCAATAGGACTCATCCCGTAATGACAGCTCCGACACCACAGAATAATTGAGTTGACAACAGAATCCGTTATCGCAAACAACTGATGAGTTTTGTTTGTCTACCAGTTTCTTAAGAGTCAGACCTGTTGTGTTCATTTCCATTGACTTATACTCGGAATCAGTTTTCAAACTCTCGATGGAAACGGTTTTATTAAACCGTTTGGAGAGACACGAGGCGCTAGTGTTGTGACTGTTAATGGGAATGTCCGCTACGAACAGTTTAGCCGTTTTGGTGGTGATGTCTGAGTAGACAATCGGTCCGTTTTCGCCCGAATATATACCGCTCCCAATAGAGCCTGTCATGAGGTTCAAGACATTTGCTGCCAAAAGGTTGACCCGATTAGTGGTAGCCCAGCCCTCCTGGAGCTGTTTGGCCGATCTAAACGGCAACTCATCGCCCCAATAGGTGGGGAACACCATTGTTTGCACTCCATATTTGACCACATCTTGAATGCCCGGGTCTTTGAACATCATATCGAAACTTCAATAAACAATTGCTTTCAATAAAAAACAATTCAAAACAACAACTCTTACCATATATGCAAACCTAGTCGACCGAAAAAATACAAAATATCACAAATTATCACATAATCTCTTAATCATTGTTAATGCAAACCTAGGCGTCCGAAAGGAGTGTCGAAGTAAACGAACTCTACTTTGGGAGGAGTGTTGTAACTATCCTCGAAGAATAGGTGTGTTTTGTGATACTTCGCCACAAGTGAGCCGTCGCTACTGAAAGCCACTGCAGTGTTGAACATATAGTGACCGTCTGTGGGACAGTTGCCATCCAATGTGTGGTTACATTGAACCCGATCCCCATAATCGGCCACAATATACAAGTGATTTGTTTTAGCAAAACAGCTCAGAGATAGTGTTATAGGACTGGACTTATACTGCGATGAATTATCGCATNGAATACATAGGATCTATTAGGCCATCCTCAGGATACACCAAAATGTTTGCCCCCTTTTTAGGTTAGAAAATAGTTATTAGTTTATCGAAAGGTATCAAATTTATTACATTTTCTGCAGCTTTGGCCGCAATTTCTTTGAAAACTTTGAGGTTTTTCTCAATGATAGTCGAGGGCTCATCTGTGGTAACGTTTCCCTGAAGTATATGTTCATAAACAGCAGCTCTGTAACAGTCGCTACTAAACTCACATTTCACTGAATATGTGTTTAAAATAAACACAATCAGTGATAACAACACTAAATTACTATTGAAAATTAGTGTCATTTTGTACAGTATTAGAAATTAATGTTATTTCAAAAGTTTGGCTAAAATGTGGCAACATTTATAGTAAATTACTATAACGTAATCAAATAGATCAAGTGCATTGGATAACAAGTTTAGTTAGATTAGAATTTAGTTAGAATTCATCCATCATAAGTGTATAAACTTTAATTATCATTGAAGTATTTAAGTAAGCACATTTTATGATAAAAGTAATTATCATTAACTCAGAAGATTTGAATTATCTGTTTACTTATATGTAATACACTTGGCATTTAAATTACAATGTGAATTAATTATTATATTTAATAATAATTATATTTTTATACAAATTAATATTTCAATTATTAATATAAATGTGAATGCAGATTTGCTCTAAAATAATCTATGTTATTTCATTAGGATTGTGAAAAATTATAGATTTAAAATTGTTTTACTCATAAAGTGTATAAATCTTCAATAATTTAATTTATTTAACATTTAATTCAATATCTATTACCATCTCTTTAGCGATGAAGAAGGTTTCCGTGTAGACCGAAAACGTTCGGCTAATCTATTATTTTTGATATCATTTAACTGATTAATAAAATAAATTATTGAAAACTAATACTTAATTAAAGTTAAACCATTGAATCCAAATAAAAGCATTTCTAATAAGAATATAAAATTTAGTTTTAATAGATTTATGAATTAGATATTAAAACTCATTCTTCATAGCAATTGATTAACTCTTTTGACAATTAAGTTGATCCTTAGGTTGAAATAAACTTAATTTTCTATCATTTCGTTGTGACCGTTACTGACATATTTAGATAATTTACTTAATTGTTAAAAGAGTAAAAGAAATAAAAGTTAAGTCAATTACAGTATAGTGAAATTGTCAGAATAAATTAGAAATTAATAATTTGTAGTCAAATTATATGCTTAATATTAGTTATATTTTTATTATAATTCATCACAAGTGGTAAACACATTAATTAAATATAAATTTATATCAAATAAATATCTTTATAACAAAATTCATTTTCATCATTAAATACTTAAAAGGTTTAACGTTATACAAAATAAAATTAATCCAAATTTTTACAGTAAATTCAATCATAAATGGTTTGCATTTAAATCCCATAACACAATAGACTATAAAACTTAAATCATATGTTTCTAAAAAACTTAGTAATCGTTATAAACAACAGAATTATTGATACAAAGTGTTGGTTAAAGGGTTAGTTTGGCCGATGGGTTCTTCTAAGTCCCTAATCTTGAGCTCATTTATGGCATCTTTGACGAGTCGGTCCAACTCTGGGGGCAATTCGTCGTCGTCTTCCGCGTCGACATCGCGTTCGTCGCCATTGTCTCGACCGCCGGTCCTGTCGCTGATCTCGTCGTCGAGTTCATCATCAGGTGTGGCCACGTCTTCGACATTGGATGTCGTGTTTGTATTACTACTTGTATTACTCTCAAGACTTTCAGTCTTAACGATCGGTAACTTGTCTTTTGAGCGGACACTTCGCAACTGATTCTCTAATTCTTCGACTCTTTTGCCCAGAATTTTGTTCGTCTTCTTTGAATGGGAAAGCGATACACTCTTATCCTGGAGTCCTGTTTAGGTTTTGCATAATTTTAGTGATTAATAAATATTACAATATTATAAGTTCATAAAAACTACATAATATTAAAAATCATTTCAAACTAATTAGTCTTAACTACTGAATGAAACATACATTTGAAAATGCATTCAATGATTATCACGTTTAATGAAATTTGTATTGATTTGCCAAATATTTAGCATAAATAGAATCCACTCTTAATTCTAAATAAAAATTACTTATTTTATCACTTGATTTGTAAACATGATTTCAAAATCTATAATTCAATAAAAATCTTTGTATTTGTTATTTTTGTAAATAACATTTGATAACTTAGAAAGGTTTACGAATTGAATTGGGAATTTAAAAACTGAATTCAATGAAAACTTTGATTTCAATGTTTGAAAAGATTTTTATTTCATCACATAATAAACAATAGTATGGTTACCGTCGAAGAGTGCGATCACAAGATTCCTTAATTGAGACAAATTATTGGCCGTCACTTCCATGTTATTGAGAGCATCGGTAGCTAAGAGATAAAATAGCGAGACATATAATTTAGAGTCATTTATATTCATTTGTACATTTTATCACTTGTCAATATATTACAAATTATGCTAGTTAAAGGTATAAACTAGAAAGCATACATGCACAATACCAAAAACACTACGTTAACACCCAATCCAAGACTAGCACCCATCCCTTCCCATTAATATTGCAGTCAATTAGACAGTTATGAGACTACACTCACCGATAAGCTCCTCGACCTGACGGGCGGTTATGACATTCCCGGACCCCAATTGAGTGGCCGCTAACACACTCTTAGCCGACGACAACACAGATTTGGGAGAATCCATGCGTTTCTTCTCCAGAATCTCTTTGTATTTATTTAATCGCAAAGAAATCAATTTCTTCTCGTCTTCAAAAGTCTTAATCTTCTCCTTCAGAAAACGGTTTTCCATAAACAGAGAGTCGATGTCAACGATTCTGTTGTCTTCGTTGGCTTCTGTCGTTGTATTGTAACTACTTCTCATCAAACCATTTAACTTTTCGTTAAGTCTATCCACTTTTAATTTGTATGAATCTCTTGACAGTATGAGCTCTTCTTTCTCGTCCAACACTGACTGCAAATCCCTTTCCAATAAAATGACTTTATTTTTATAGAATTCCATTTCGGAGATGATATTCATATCGATATTCCTGTCTCTGGACTCATAAGCGGCTGAATCAATGTGTTGAGACATTGTCCTCATTTGTCCCCGAACTATCTTCAGATCACCTGTCAGTTCATTAATAATAGGCTTGAGTCTAGACATCGATAATAAGTTGTTATAATCAATTATAACTCAGTTTTAAAAGTATTGTAGTTTAGAAGTGTTAAATAATAATTTATCAAAAGTTTTTGGAGGATTATTAAAGAAATTAAAGAATTGAAAGGACTAGTTCATTCATTTGTTAAATCGATATTTTAGAAATTTTTACATAAAGAAATTTTCATTAAGAATTAATGATATTTTAATGTTACATAAAATAATGTTATTATTCTACACAAAATTATATGCAAATGAGACCACTATATTTGGGGTTTAATAACTTATACATTAATAAATGTTAGTTATTATGAGGGCTTGCAGACAAAAGTCACATAAAAATTATTTTTACTTATTTTTAATACTTGTCTGGATGTGCAATCAGTTTAGTGTCGCATGCGATCACTTAAACTAAAAGTCGAGACAACGATCATAATTACAATGAATCCAAAATCTATAAACCATTTATTTGTTATGATAGCAATTGCTTTCATAATCTCTACACTAATGCCACAGACTTTGTCAAAACCCATAGAAGATAATGAACTGACAAAAGATGACATCAAAGAAGTTCAAACTAATAAACATAATCCACACTTCTATGGGAGTTCCTCACAAACTCAAGAAATTGTTTGGCTATTAAACCAATTGATTGACATCCTGTCAGAGATGGTCAGCGGCATAGAAGTGGATCAGACGCTACTCCAGAACTATCACTTCCGGCAAATATTGGCGCATATGATCCGCAGAATAGACCACATTTTAGGCCACTTCGAGACCGTCGATGATCTGCCGCAACAGATTAAGACACCTCTGCATCGATTGGATTGCGTCCGCATTCGTCTCAGTAATTACATCAACAAAAAGTCCGGACAAATGACGGACGACAGCATCTGCTATGACATGGGCTTCGTTACCACCAAAAAGCCGGCACATGTGGCCACTTCTGATGGCAGCCAGAGTCAGATTATGATTGTAATCACGCAAATTGTCTATATTATCATTCAAATTGTCAACAAAATGGGCACAAATAGCAATCAAATGATGATGACTACTAAGTCGCCGCAAGGTATGACCACACCTTTCAATTGGGATCAAATGGTGTCTCAGATAATGGGTGGACAACAACAGCAGCAGCAGACATACACCCCGATGAGTGTACTGACAAATACACCCAATTGGCAGGACTTGATCTCACAGGTGATCGATTCATTTGGCTCTACGGTTGCGGGTGTGGGCAGTGGTGCAGGAGCTGGGGCTACATCGGCACCAATGGACACGACTACTGTGGACTGGGGGGAACTCATATCAGCGGTTGTCGGGGAGATAGAAAAACAATACGGAAGTACTCCTCCGGCCATAAGTCAATCAAACTCTAACTCTGGGGCCAGCACTAAGAATATGGTTACACCTATGGTATGGACCGGACCTACCAATGCTGTAACTCAGGCGACAACTCAGTATCCATGGGGTGGTATTTTGGGAGGAATGGTCGGGCAGAATAATAATAATAATAATATTCAGGGATTAGTGACAGGAATGCCCTCGCAGACCACAACATTTGATGTCCAGGGTTGTATTGATTCAATCATGAAAATAGTGAATGATATCAACAATCAATTACCGGGCAATAGCGGTACTATGGCTACACTGCCCCCTACAATGGGCACAACACAAGACTTGTCCGGTATTATGGCTGGGATTTTAGGGCAGTTTGGATAAAATCGATATAATGTGTACTATTTCTGAATAAATAAATTATTTAATATAAAAGAAATAAAAAGTCCAATAAAAGAATCAAAACTGAAATGCTAGTCTATAATATGCTTTTGTGTCATTCAATTTGATGATTTTTTCACAACACTTTTGCTGAATATCCTATTACTCTATGGCTTTATAAACAATTTATATAAAAAGTTAAGTACTTTTTTGCTGTTATTGTTGGGAATTTGTATTTTATATATCAAATACAAGCCGAGAGTATGAGTGAAATAGAAATAAAATAATCGATTTAATGAATGAGTGGTTGCTTTCAACACAACACAAACATAATGTGATTAAACTTATGCCGTATATTATATAACGAGAGAAAATCAAATGATATAATAATAATAAGAAAACTAATAAGAAATGAGAGAAAGTGTTGATACCCTCGGCGTCCTCCAACTTCATCCTCAAGTCGTCGATCTCTCGGATCAGATGTTTGTTCTGCTCTTTCAGTGTAATCAAGAGCTGAGCCAATGGTTCGCTTTGAGAGGAACTACTTCTGGGAATGTCGTACTCGTAGTCGTATACCGCCGATAGCGTGGGACCCAAGCCCTCCATCTTCCTCTTGATAATGCCGTACCGTTCCCTCAATTGTTCGCCCATTAACTTGAACTGATCCCTCTGGGCCTTACATTCCAGTAATTCTTGCGATAATATGATTAGTGCACACGACTTGCTGTCCAATTTGTCTCTCAATAGAGATATCTGTAAAACGTTTAATTAATTTGATTATTCAATCGATATAATCTTATTTATTCATTTTATGTGCCACAAGTAATTCATATTGTTAAATATTAAAATTATGTGCAAATAATACAAATTGTGGTATTGAATACCTGTGCGCTATTGATTTTTATAATTAAGCATATTATTTGAAATTTAAATTAATGACTTGTTTTGTGTATGACTATAATGATTGCTTTGTGTGATTGTAGTTGTGTATATGTGTTTAGAATATTTACAATTATGGTATATATTTAATTAAAATTTCAATGTATGAAATAATTGGTTTTGTTTTGTGAAATGAAGTCCAAAAACTTCTAACTTATAAATCAAATTCTGTTTCTAAAAATACATTTTATGGAGAGCTCTGGATCTGATCTGACGTGATCTGAACTATAACTACATGAGTAAACCATTCACTCTATGGCGAGAGTACACTATAATACAAAGATTGCAAAAAAAGTTTCTATGTTTTGACATAAATAATATTCTGATATCGCATTATATAAATAATTCAAATATTTATTTCTCTCGCTATAAATCTATTTAATAAAAGATTTACTTAAATCTTATTCACTATAGAAGGATATTACTGTTTATAAAGGTATGAAAATTAGATTTGTGTGAATAAACCTCTGAAAATAAAACGGCTTTCTATAAGTACAAGAATGGCACAAAAAGTATTGATCGCAAGATTTTTGGATAAAAATAAACAAAAGTGAATGCATATTAGAAAATAAAATTTTAGGCGCATTTTGAGATGTAATTTTAATAATGTAATCTAATATAAATGGTAATTTCAAGTTATTTAATTATTTAGTTTTATAAAAAAGTACATTAAAAAATATTAATAAAAAGTTGTATATTGCAAAGAATAACAAATAGACATAGAATTGAAAATAAAAGCAACAAATTGATATTTTCAATTTCGAGGAAATGTTTATAAACACCTCATATATATATATAAAATATAAATTTCTTATAGACATAGTGACAGACAAATAGCAAAATGATATATCAATATAAATATTAATATTAATAAATAGTTAAATACGATTGAAAATATACCTCATTGAGAGCGGTCTCAAACTGAGCATTTGATACGGATTTGTTTTTATCACTCATTATTTAATGCTTTATTAATATGTATTAGTTATCGGATTAAATAAATAAATATAGTTATATTATTTATATAAATGTATATATTTTTAATATTATAATGATATACACAACAAACACTGCAATCAACGGATGCCTTATACTATACTTATATGTTATTTCTTAAAACGGAAATACACTTAATATACATAGAATAACATTATTAATATTGATATGAATTTGTGTGTCTAATGAACACATATTAAGGCAAAATTTTGAATGAAACTTTATATAATGTAAATTTAAATAATGGTTTATTTAATGAGTTTGTGTTTTTTGGTAGTGAATGCACACTATTTTCAAATGAAACTCAGTTCTGGTGGTGATCTGTACTCTAACTATTCATACCATTCCTCGCAGTTTTCCAGTCAATGCAATACAACAGACATGTATCGCACAATCTGTTAGAGCACTGGTAGCGATGGAAATGTGTGTAAAAGACATGTTTAGGTTTCATAAATCAATAATAAGGGTTGGCTTTGAATTGTATGGCTTTTGCCAGCTTTTTCTAACGCACTCTCTATGTTAAGGTTTTGTCGATTTTGCGCTACTTTTCAAATATTTATTCTTAGTTCTTAACATGATACATTATATATTTTTCTAGTTTTTATGTATTTAACTTAAGTATCATGCTTATTTACTCTAACTAAAGGTATGCAAGTTTAAGCAAATATTTTCAATATCAAACATAAATATACTACTGCTAATTACATAAATATTCCATAATGTGTTCAATTATTTTGTAAATAAATGTTTAATTTGTTAAAAACTTTTATATATAAGACAATTCATTCAGAATGACAATGTAGAGGAAATTTTTACATTAATTGTCTTGTTTTTAAATTTTTCTTATAAGGAAATAATTGGTTATAAAAAATTTAAGCATATATTAATTATCTATTTTAAAAAATAATATAATTTTGCATAATTGGTAATTACTTTTGTTTGACAAAAATGTAATAAGCATAGCAAATATCACTTAACTAGACATCTAAACTTAAATATTACACACTTTAAACATGATGCTATAATAATTTGTAGAAATAGTAAAATTAAAACTTGGATCAGTCAACATTTTACTTAGTTTGGGTAGTTTCCCAAAAATAGTATTTATTATTTTCTTATTAAAAGTAATCATCAAATCAGGCTAATTTGAAATTAGTATAATTTTCCTTTAAAATCAAACCATTAGAAATACAATACAAAAGCTTGCTTTATTATATTTTTAGTGATACAATAACACTGGGTATTTAAATATTTAATCTTTTAAAGTTTCCCTAAAATATTAGAAAATAATATATTTGATAGAATAATATCTTAAAAATAATTTTCATAATTTGTAATATAGTCTAAAACTGAAATTGTGATAATTGTGAGTGATTGAATGGACAATGGGTTTTTATAACCTCGACTATGAGCTTGATTTTCTCTTATTTATTGCTCTCATTATTATAATCGCTATATTTGTAACGCTGTCGTACTTTTCACTAACTGTGCCTGTGCTCATCAGGTATGGCCTGGCTGGTCTTAGAAATGCCCCGCGAGATATCAGGTTTGTAATGAACTAGCCAAATGATCATCATAAAAAACTTTAATAAATCTTACGAATAAATCATAAATGTTTTAATCTAATTAAATAATTGATTTGTAGGGCAATGTATTATTATTTAATAGTAAAATATAATCTCATAAAATGGAAACATTACGACCAATCAGTTGATGAGCTATTCATGAAAACAGTGGCCAAACATCCGCACAAAATAGCCATATATTTCAAGGAAGAGAAGTGGACTTTCGCTCATTTGAATGAGTTTTCCAACCAAACGGCCAATTGTTTTAGCAATTTAGGCCTTAAATACAGGGACGAGGTGTGCCTTATAATGAGTAATCGACCAGAATTTATGGGCATTTGGTTGGGTTTCACCAAAATTGGTGTCATTCCAGCGCTGGTCAACATTAACCACAAGAGAGACTACTTATTACACGCCATACAAGCCATTGATTGTAAAGCTATTATCTTTGAAAATATATTTTACGAAAGTAAGTGTAATTGCACACGTTTTCATGTTATTTATTATCAATTGTCTGTAATTATTGTTTTGATAGCAATCGCAGAAATAGTTGCCGATTTAACACAATTTAATTCAAACATCAAATACTATTGTTATGGGGATATAGAGGTGAACACAATCACACAGAATGTTGTCAATTGTGAGCCAATACACCAAATGATAGCTTCATATGAATCATCGAGAAATGAATTGACAATAAAAGCCAAACCACACTTCGATTCAATACTATTTTATTTGTATACTTCGGGAACGACCGGCTATTCAAAGGCAGCCATATTTAGACATTATCGGTACCTAACGCTAGGACTGGTGATCGGCACCTCATTGGGACTTAAGGAAAGTGACATAATCTACCTGTCCCTTCCTCTATATCACGCCAATTCATGTGTCAGCACATGTATGGGTCTAATCCATGGTATGAGTGTTGCCCTTAAAGATAAATTTTCGGCCACAGAATACTGGAATGACTGCATTAAATACAAATGCACTGTAAGTATGCATTTAATTGAGTCTAATGTTAATTTTACTTGAGAATATTTATATAAATATTCTGCTATAATGAGCTAGATTATTAAATTGATTACATTAATGCTACACACAGGTTTCAAACTATATCGGCGAGTTATGTCGATATTTATTGGCCCAACCGGTCAAGGATTGCGATAAAAAACATAATATTAGAGTAATGTTTGGGAATGGATTGCGGCCTAAGATTTGGCATGACTTTCAACAAAGATTTAATATCAAACTCATCGGAGAATTCTATGCGTCCACTGAAGGAAATTCAAATCTCAGTAAATATTTATATTTAAATCAAATATATT